CTGAAACACCGTCCTTTCCTTGTTTACTGTGTGTCGCTCTTCGGAACCTCGCTGGGCAACTCCATGATATTTGTGCACCTTGTAGCCCATGCTCAACACATTGGAGTGGAGAAGACGCCAGCCGCTTTTCTACTGTCAATCTTGGGAATCTCAGAGGCGGTGTCAAGGCCCTTACACGGGTGGCTGTCGGACAGGGTACACATCAGCAAGCTCTACTATTACATGATTGGCAATACCGGACTGGCCATACTTAACATCGCCATACCGTTCGGAAGAACCTACACGGGCCTTGTGGTGTGCATGGTGCTATACGGATTTTTCTCGGGCAGTTTCAACTCACTTATCGCTGTGATGGTGAAGATATACAGCAGCGTTTCCAGGATTTCCAGTGGGCTGGGGTGGGCGCTCGTCTTCGAGGGGGCTGGCTTCCTACTTGGGCCACCTATTGCAGGTACAATGTGTGCACAGGGTTATCACTTGTCTATTTCTCTTCGTTTACACTCTCTTAGTATCAGGTATAGAAAACGAGAATTCGTTTTTCGCAAAACAATAAACAAATATAGAAAAGGTACAATCAAGGTCGCCTTTTTTGTCCTTCATCCACTGCCAGGTTGGGTCTTTGATGCAACGGGCAACTACGACATGTCTTTCCACGCGGTTGGCATTGTCATCTTTCTCTCAGCGGTCGTGCTTTTCGTCATTCCCTGTTCAACAACAAGAGGGTCATTCTCGCTCGGTTCTGACACCAGTGAGACCAATCAGAACGGAATCAAGATAGTCGCCTTCAGGAATCTGGGTACAGAAACTGGTAGTAGTGACTCAGGCCAAAGCAACACTGGTTTCCAGGCATGATGGTTATATTGTCGGTGGTTTTCGGTGTAACATGCTAGTGGGCTATCCCCCAGACGTAGCGTTTGCACGACTGTGTGGCCCAAGGGCTATAGGCAGAGATGGACACAACTCTATACCCCTTAAGATGTGAAACGAATCCGTTTGACCGTCAAAGTGGTAGTAAGTAGAAACGACTGGGGTTAGATTTTTATCACCACTGGAAGAATATGCAGGCGTCTATCAACAAAAGACCTAAGACCTAAAGCAGTGTAGATACTTTTAAATTTAAGTCACTTATATTGTAATATATTGGTCGGAATAAGGAAAAACCAGCTACAGTATGCCAGCTAGCCTTTGTATACTCATGATGAGATCATCAGAACTAGTGAACGCTGTTTAAAGGACTTATTTCACTGCAATATAATTGCAATAAAACTGCTGAAACCATACTTTGTGTAAATTTTAACAACTTAAAGAGAGTGTAAGAATTCTATAACGAGAATCATTTAACGAAGTAAGAGGTTTTAAAATCCGTGAATTGTTAATTGTCACCTTTAACCTAGACCAGTGTTCATCAGTGTTTTTTAACGATGTCAGATACAAATATTACACCACTTAACACAACAAAAAGTCAAGTCCCAAATCCGTCGTCCCATGTCACAAATGGGTATGACTTAGGGGGCTATGTCAGACTCAGCCGGAAAATTTATTGGTAACGCCTAGCCTATGGACAGGTTAGCTCAGGTAAGAGGTCACAAGGTGTCAGCCTTGATATTTATAGAGTGGAAAGGCAAGATCGCAATCAAATTTTTAAGATGGCTGCGAAATAGCTAGAGATCTAGTGGCCCGGATCTTGAGACAGTCGCTCGCGTTACAGAACTAGGAAGAATCAGGGTCTTGTCCATTGGAATAAGACGCAAGACATTGACCTTGAAGAGTTGACACTCAAGGGATTAAGACGATCGTAAGTCTGGTGTGCGAGAGAAGAGTTCTGTACGAAAACGAGCGAGGAAGGTAAGGCCTGAGGATACTGTGGAATGTAAGTACTGCCTTGCGATATCGCTCCATTGTTTGTTCCATTTTTAGATTTCACTCCATACCATAGGTATCAAAATGTATATTCTGGGCTCTTGCACCCTAGTATTACAACCAAATGACTTGAAATTCATTGAAGGGTTACTTTTGGCGAAAATGTCGCCAGATACAAATTGAAAAATTTGGTATGCACAACAGTACTCCAAAATAATGTGTTTCTGGACTTTTTGCCTATTTTAGACTAAATCTGTCATGGCATCATCCAGCCAAGGACGTTATAAAACACCAACCAAACACCAACACCAAATCGAAGATCTCGTACCTCCATGAGAGATTCAGATGGATGTTTTATTCACTTATTTTGAATTTCTCACTGCTAAAATTCTGTATACTCGTTTTCCGTCTAGGTCCCATACGGCAACAGGGGTGCATAGAGCAGGCAGTTGAAAAACCTTTTCTGTGACCTTTCTGGGACTAGGGCCACACAGACACCAAAATGTCCAAAGTGCGATCCGCTGACAGGCCGCCAGACGGCGGGTGGGGTTGGGTAGTGGTGGCCAGCACGTTCTTCGTCAATATGCTGGTGGTTGGGACCTTGAAGTCCTTCGGAGTGTTCTACGCAGAGTTCAGGGAAGTTTTCCAGGAGAGTGCCGGAATGACGTCCTTCATCAGTTCTATCCTAGGGGGTATGCTGTTGATGTGTTGTGAGTATCTGGAGATGTATTGAAGATCGTTGATTAAAATTTGAGGTTGATTGCAGCCCTCACGAGAAACCATAACTACACGTCCGATAAACATTTGAAAGATAATTTGACGCTGATA